GTTCGTAAAGTATGGATTCTTGCTCTGATGATGTCGGCCAAAGTACAGACGAAAACCTAACACAGGTTCATCGGGATCGACGGATCGTGGGCTGACTTCTTTTTACAATTCACCAGACTTTATTCAACGGCAATTCTCCTGTTTCCGGGAGGACATTGCAAGAATTCCTTCAAAATGGAAAATCATGTCACAATAAATCTCCATCAAGTCAGGTCATAAGTGAACCAGAGGCAGGCACACACAATGCAATTAAGTAAGTATATTTTAAACATGGCATCAACGTCAGCTTGACAGGGACATCTGATACCTTACTGATTAATCTCACTCCGCTTCCATACTATTGACATCATCCTATCCACACTCCTATCTTACCAAAATAAGTCGAGTACCAGTACATCGTAGTACATAGAATAACGTATACGGAATAATATAATACAACTAGTGGGTCCGATATATAAGCATGACAGTTTCTAGAAGATGGATCCTTTAAGTCAAAGTCTAATAAGTAGCCTTTATATGCAGGGTTATCTGTGCACGGTACACCACCGTGTCAAGGATAAAAGATAGCCTATGAAGAAGAATTGAATTTCAGTCCGTAATTTCAACATCAGTACGCGATTTTTAAAGATCCAAATCAAATTTGTTAGTCAAGCTTGCTGGCAAAATAGAAGTGGTCTGACCTTTTGCACAACTTGTCTGTGATATCTTGATGGTAGCACCATGTAAGGAGTCCTCTTCCATATTAGTCATGACAGTCGAAGACAAACGACAGAAAGAATCCCAAAGAATGATAATGTGGTTTTGAATTCGCTCCAATTTAAGTAACTACACCTAAAAAAGCAGTTCCTACTCTCCGAACTCTGTTCCAGAACCAGGGCACACTCGTCTACAGGAAAGCGTTATCCTATATCTAATTTATAATAACCAAAGCACATAAGATTCTGGTCTCGTGCATGCGGCATAACGATCATATAAGCTCCAGATAGTCTTCACGAGGCGAAAGGCTATTATCTTAATAGGTTTTATTGAAAGTCTCCTGAGCAGTCATTCGGATCACTCCACCAGTAAGAGGACATGATGAGGCCCATTATCCCATATTAATGAATTATATAGGAAGTAAACCAAGAGTAAATAGTAAACATGAAGCAAGCTGAAAGCTGCATAGCGAGCCTAATAATTCATTTACATTGCCCCGTCTAAGTAAGGTATCATATTTTAATATATCTTATTATAGTGCTATTTTAGTTTAATCACTTCTTAGATCTTGAAATTACCTTACATTTAAACCCGTGTCTTTTTCAAAAGGCCCTCAATTGGACTTCATTCCCAGATTAATTTCGACGTGCTTATCTCAACAAGGCAAACTTCTAACGTCATTACATTTTCAAATGTGCCGACACATTGGAACCACCCTATTCGGGGGGGTCAATAAGTGTAAAAAAGCCCATAGACATAAGGATGCAGAGAAAAATGGATCCCCATTCAACTAAAGAAGATAATCTACGTGATAGTTTACTAATTATTTAATTTTAACGGGTCAAAATACATAAGTTATCTGAAAAGCAAAATATATGCCCAAGGGTCTTTTATTGTGAGTTGTAAACGTAAAGAAACAGGTGACCAGCTGACGGTACACTGACGTTAAATGGTTTGAATCCGTATAGACTGCTAAATCAGTCAAGATGGATTTTAAGATTAGGGTTGAGGGAATGTCCTAAATTTATCCATGTGGCTAGTGCTTTAGCAATTGATCACCTAGAAGGAAATACGATCGACGAAGACTATTGCATTATCGAATTTAGTACATATATAATCACACATTAAAAAGTTCTTTTGGCTTAGTATAATGGCAACAAGTTAATGAAAAGTTTACTTAAATAGTATGAAAAAAGTGAATAAGTTGCCGAATGGATAAAATTGTGAGGTACGCGTCTTGGTTAAAAAGTGATCGGTGAATCATCATTGTGAGAAGATTGATGCAGAGGACTGATGCATATTTATAAGTAAAGGATAGAGTCATAAGGTTGGAAAGATGAATACAATACAAGCACTTGCCAAAAATCAAAAAATATATAGTGAGGGGAGAAATGATTATCAACGACAGCTTGA